GTGGCCCTTGAATGCCTTCAGCTGTACTTGATGGGAGATGCTGGTCAGAGCTCAGAAGACCAGAATGGTGGTAGAAACGCTGTTGGTAAAGACCAGGCTGAGGAGGTTTCTGCTAGGAAAAAGAACTGAATTGGCTGTTGTACTCCAGAACATGTGTTGGCAGCGTTTGTCTGCATTTTGCTCATGTCCAGAGACTGAAATTAATGGTGCCATCTAATTAACCTTGCAGAAGAAATTTAAAGACAGTCTAAATTTGAGGTGGGGTGGCATGACTCCTGCTGGGGGCTTTTAGCCACACCCGTGTTGAGAGTCAAGAGCAAAGAGCTCAGCAGAATGATTTTAAACACTGTGAATTTGGCCAGAAAGAAAGTTTCAGTAGAGCTATGGACTCCAAAGAGAAAGCAGAGAAGAACTTGGTTGCTGAGAAGGAAGAGGACAATGGAAAAGATGTTCTAAGGACATCACAAGAAACAGCCTTTGCAAAACCCTCCAGGATGCAAAGGTGAAAGAATTTGCTTTGAGAAGAGAGTACTGAGTTCCAGAATAGTAGCAGCCTAGGGAATTTGTTCCCCGGGACTCAGTTCAAAGTGCTCAGCAATCCAGGCACACTCGACCCCTTCAGCCAAGAGAGACAGAAGCCCAGCTACTGCTCTGGCTGCTGGTAAACTTCGGTGTTATCCACGTGGTGCTGGTTTTAGACGAATGCAGAATGCAAGAGTTGTGAGGTCAGGAAGGCTCCCGCCTAGATTCCAGAAGATGACCCTGGAGGCCAGGCAGTGAGAAGACCTGCAAGGGCAGTTTGTGAAGCTGCGAGTGTGAAGCTGAACGTGCAGTGGAGGCCCCAGAGAGGTCGGAGAAGCCAAGAACATGGGTCATCTGAGGAGAGCTGCAATGAGTGAGCAAAGCCAACCCAAGGGAGGAGCTGTGGAAGCTACGACCACATGCAGCTGTAGGGTCAGAGCCACCCAGGTCCTTTCGAGTTCATGTCTTGCCACAGACTGCCTGGAGTGCTGGACATGCAACTACAGGATTTAGGGTTTGCGCTGCTGAATTTTGCACTTGCTTTGGTCCCATTCTTTCTATAACCCTATTTGGAATGGGAATGTTTATCTTGCGTCATTGAATGTTGGAAGTGTCTAACTTTCTTTTCATTTGTACAGGGGGCTTGCAGCTAAGAGTGCCTTAAATCTTACACACTGTAGACTTGAACTTGCAGCAGTGCTAAAACTGTTAGGACTTTGGCAACTCTTGGAGGTGGACTAAATGCCTTATGCATGAGTCTTTGGGGGGCTTAGGGGTGGAATGTCATGGCTTGAATCTAGATGTCCCCTGCTAGGCCTCATGAGGTCATAGGTGGAGCTTCTTGGAGGTAGCTGGGTCTGGAGTGTGTGATTAAGCTGGGATTAAGGGTGTGTGGTTACTAAATTAGTCCACTGATTGGTATGGTATGGCTCCGGGTAGGTTAAGTGTGCCCTAACCTGGGTGTAAGTGCTACCTGCCTAAGAGTGAGTAGCCTAGATAGAATATAAGGGAGAGAAAGAGAGCTGCTGTTGTTACTGCTTGTTGATTTCTGCTGATTGCTGCTTTGCTGTTGCTAGCACACTTGCCATAAACTGTTTATCCTCTGCCATGCCACCCTGCCTTGGAGCCAGACAGCTATGGACTGAAACCTCTACAAACTGAGCGCTAAATAAACATTTCCTCCTTTAAATTTGGGTGTTGAGTATTTCGTCTCAGGAGCAAGAAAGTAACTAAACAAGTAGGAAACCAGAAAACTTGTCCCATCCTCCCCTCATCAGGAATACAGAGAAGCAAAGAACAAACAGTAACTCAACACCCTACCCAGAGGTGAATTCCGAGATCTTTTATTTGTTTCTGTGTAAATATCAATATCATTATTAGTGGTAGTATTAATGTAAATATTTATATTTCCTGAGAACCAGCAAAGCACTGAGTACAGATATATGGCTTAAAATAGGGAATCTACCTGCTATGCTTAAAAACATTATGATTTGGATCAAGACTGGAATCTTTTAGGCATTCTATAAATAGAAACTCACTAAGTAACAATTGTTAACTCTTGAAGAATTGCCCACGAGGCTGAAGGAAGATGTTTAACTTTTGTGAGGACATTTTTTAAAAATGGATACAGTAGAAGGGAAAGTTATTCCCATTGACACATAACAACCAGTGCATAAACATTTACTGTGTGCATTTTGAGCTATCATTATGAGAATAAGATTCTAAACTATTAGGACAATTAACATCCTTGTCATTTAGCAAGAGAAGAAATCAGGGTGCAGAAATACAATTTTTTGTCTAATGTCACTTGGCTCATTGATGCCTGAGAGAAACTTAGAATTCCTAACTTCTGACGTCTCATGGGTTTTCCCCCGCATAAGTCTCTTCCATGTACAAAGTGTAGATTAATTATCGCGTTGAAAAATATGACTTACAGGGCCTGAGGGACACAACACAGGGGTGGAAGGTGGGGAGTGAAGCTGGTGCACAGCAGCAAAGGCCCTGCGTGGCGGAATGAAGGCGGCATGAGAAGAGCAGACCAGGGGCAGCCAAAAGAAGTGGGCATCTGGGAGGAGGCACCATGGCTGTGAGACCCGACTGAGCTAAAATGACTCCTTGTTGGCCAGCTGATGACCCCAGAGACTGTTGTGCACCCCTCCCCTTATCAGACAACAGGTACCGAGGACACAACATTCCATTTTGGCCTTAACTTGCCGGGATGGAAAGCTTGGGTCAGCCCCCTCAAGGACCAATTCTTTTTATATTGCTCGTCCTCATGTTTGATCCCTGCATGGAAAGATGGATATAAAAACTCATACATCAGGGAGTAGCTGCTGCCCAACATTATCAGATGCTAATTATGTGGAATAATGAAAATTGGTACGAACACAACAAGGGGTAAGGAGATACCCCAAAAGCGAAGGGAGGAATGATAGGGAAAACTTTTATAAATAATAAAAACCTATAAAGTGTTACAATGTAAAATGGCTTCTGCTCTCTCTAACAGCAGTTTGTTTGTTTAGCTCAAAACCAATAGGCGCCGAAGGCACTAATTGCTGAATTAGGCATTTGGCCTTACCCTGAGATAACAGGGCACATCAAGGTCTTGAGCTCCGGTGAGACTGGAGCCACATGATCGTGAGAGCGTCTAAATGAAAGAACCCATTGCTAACATTTGCTTTCCTGACCCTGAACAGCTGCTTCCTATGGGCTAAGATAGGTAGCTAGGCAAATCTTCAAGGACAACTCCCCAACAGCAAAGAACTGTTACGTCTGGGTTGAAAGTTAACTGTCTTATGACCATGATTTATATATCTGTAAATGAAATGTAACCACATGAATGAGGTCATGCTGTAAACCCTATAAAACCTGTGTACAATCCAGTAATGGGGTTTCACTTCTCTTAGAGAGTGGAGTCCGAGCATGTGAAATCAATTTCTTTCAGTCTTATTTGTGTCCCGGTACTTGATGTACTCACTGTCTTGGTACAACAATGGCATCAAACACAACAGCTCCCAGAACAAAGAGGCTTAAGCCTGACCTATACACTGCATCCCTACAAGAAATACAAATAAATACCAAACTTTTAAAAAGCAAATATAGCTGAGCATGCTAATTTATGCTTACAATCCTAGCACTCTGGGAAGCTGAGGCAAGAGGGTCACAGGTTCAGGCCCAGCCTGGGCAACTTAGCAACTTAGGGAGACCCTCTATCTCAAAACTTTGAAAAATTTTTAAAGGGTTGAGTGTACCTCAATGTGAAAGCCTTGAGTTCAGTCATCAGTACCAAAAATAAAGTAAATAGACATTTTAAAATATTACCTATGATCATAAACATTTACTTTTCCAGGTATCACTAAGTAACAGCAACTTTCCAAAACACAGTCAATAATAACAAGTAAACTATGCACAGAAACACAAATACATAAATCTTCTGTGGAATCCATAAAAAGCATTTAACCCAGTGCATAATCCACAGTAGGGCCTCTCTAAGTGTTTAACAATAATCATATCAGTACCTTGGCAACAAGTCAGAGCTTCTTTACTCTTAATTCTGCATATATTCTTTTACTTAGCATATTTACTTAGCTCCTTTCCACAGCAGGTTGAAATAGAGAGGTGGGAATATAGTTGGAGATAGATGCTTAGGAGGAAATAGGACACTATCAGAAAATAAATCCAAATGTAACTGAGACCACTTAGTGCAGGGACAGACAGTCCTCTGTCTTCCTGGAGGTCCTAGAGCTAATCACAGAGGACAATCCCTGTGATGACATGGAATCATCCAGAAAGATTTCATGATATGTTGCATCCTCTAAGATACCAGGAAACATTTGCTACAACTTAAAAATATATATATCAAACATTTACATGTGTAAAAGTTTTGGCACAGAGAACTTACAAATCATCTGGAAATTTGACATTTAAAAAATCAAAATTTCCCCGAGTGCTATATACATGATGCACTGTCAAGTTAAGGGGGGTCATTTAAAGTAAATAAAAGGGGTCCTTTTTCCTTGAAGCCTTGATAGTGGATGATTGTGCTGCTAATTTCAATGATCGATATAAGATCACATGTGGCACCATGGCATTTCTAGGCAGAGATCTAGATGGGACAAGGCTGTGGGCAGAGATTATAGCATTTCTCAATTTTTTTTCATAACCAGCAATGTGGTATCTGTGTACAAAACATAGAGCTGGGTATGAATCTCAGCCCACATGGGGGGATGAGACATGCCACTTTGCTTACTTGGGACAAAGAATAGGTTTTCCTCTCCAGGTTGTTAAAATCCTGAGAGGGCAGTTCATTACTACACCATGTGGTAAAGCTAACCCTCACAAATTACCTCCCATCCTCTATAGTAAACTCTTTCTTGATTTTCTTTATGTCACAGATGAGATCTTTCACAGTATCACCTCCCTGGAATGATTCTTTGAAGAAAAATTTCTATTAAGTATGTTTGAAGCTGGAAGGGCAACATGGTAAAGAAAAACACCTGCATACACAATATTTCTTAGACAGCTATCTCAAGTCCTGCTTTCCACAGGACGGTTTTCCTTTTGAATTCCCAGCAAATGAAAGAAGTATTTAGGCAATGTGCAAACAGGAATCAATTAACCTTGGAGGGGCCTCTTTGGTTCCCTGGGGTTGGTAGATACCACCTTTCGAGGGTTCACAACCCTATTCCTTGTTTCTCTTCACTTTGACAATGCCACACACACCATCCTTCCAGCAAATGGTAGTCAAGGGTTTTCCAGTGACGTAGGTTATTTTGACAATCGCCTGACCAATAGAAGCAATGTGAATGAAAGAGGACCTGAGTTTTTCATTCTCACAAAGGTTCCTAGTGGGCTCAAGGCAATCAGCAGTCATGGGGGATGAGTTAGGTGACTTAGAATAGGATAAATAAAATTAATTGGTAGGTAAAACAATATTTTAAATATCCCTGAGTGTGTGGGGGGGTGGAACCGCATATGCTCTGTTCATGTCCCACATGGTCGAGCTAAAAGGGCTTCTCCACTCACAAGGAAGACTTTATGTCCTGTCCACCCCCAACTTGGAGTTCATGCTGGTTCCTGCTCGGAAGTGTTGCTGTTAGATCCTTATTAGATACAAAATCCACCAGGATTTTGCTGAATGAGATACAGTTCCCCACCATTCATCCTGAAGTCCTCACAGGAGGTATTCGGAGAGTTTATGCTCAAGTAGACTTTGTCTTTGTAAGCTAAAGAGACCACTGTGGTGAAGTCAGCCTGCAGGTCCTTTCTCAGGGGGATGGAGATGGGATTCTGATGCATCCGGTAATGAAGGCTAATGCTGACCTCCTCCTGGAAGTAGCCCTTCACAGAGATGAGGTAAAACCCATCACAGGTGATGATAACTGAGTTGTTTTCCACCGTCATGATCTGAGCATTGTTTGGGATGAGGGTCAGTTTCTCTTCCTCACATCCTAGAGTGGGTAGGGTGAAAATGTGAAAAAAAAAATGATCCCTATGCACAGCACTGGACAACAGCCTTCCCCTACCTCTAGAACCAGGTAAAGAGAAAGAGGTACAGAGAGAGTTTGAAATGAGTGGAAGAAAGAACTAGAACCTGCTTTCCTTGTGGAATGGAAGAAGGGGTAAAACTAATACTTGTGACCGGAAGAGTCTCAGGTAGGCTGAGACTTGGAGCTGAGAGGTTACAACTGTCATGTCAGACCTATGGCAGGAAAGGTAGAACCAGGTTTTCCTAAGGTTTCAGAACTGGGAGGCACTGGCAACTTCGGTGCTTACTTTCTTGCTCAATGGGTGAACCACAAGGCAACAGTGCCCTCTGGCTTGATCCCACACACCACTTATTAGCTTATCTCAAAGCTCTCTCTGCCTAAGAAATGCACATTTTCCACATGCTCTGGGCATCAGGCGTACTGACAGAATTTAGTACCAGTATTCCCTGAGCTTAATGATGCAGAATCAAAGCGGGCTTGATCAGATGGAGACGGAAGAGCTCAAGGACACAGACTTGCTTCTCCCTTCTACCTCCTATTGTTAGTTTTTCCTGGAAGGTGACTTTGGAAGACTCACTATCACAGGAGAAAGAAAGGAGGAGGAGGAGAAAAGACAGCAGCAGCAGCTTTGGTGATTTTGTGCAGAACCATTTCAAGTACAAGCCCAAAAGCCTAAATTTATTTTATTTCCATATTAGCTTCAATATCATAGCGAATGGCCCTCTAACTGCCTCGGGTCACCTGTTTTGGGTTATGTCCCTTATGATGGGAAAGAATCCCCACTGAAAGCCACATTCAGTAATTCTTGCTTTGTATCAGGCCCAGAAGGCATATTTTGATCTGAAAATAAGCAGCACTTAGGGAAGCCAAAAAGTACTTCCCTTTAGGCTTAGAGAACTTAACTGAATAAGTAAGTATTCATGTAGAACCCACTGGTGGGTGGATGTAATCACAAACTCAAAGGATGCTCTTACAGTAGTCAAAGTATCTTTTTCCTTCATATCCCTCAATTATAATTAAGGTATCATCTTGTCCTAGAAGAGAATTAGCAGGTTATATGTCTTTATAGCCTGACAGACTTGCAGAAGGTCAACCCTTAGTCTCCTCAGCTCAAAAAAATAAAAAAAAAGAGTTCCTGGGGGAATTAAATGAGACACATAAAGTACAGAGAGGAGCATGTACTTTTGTGGCCGATCCTGCCTCTTCTTTATGCATCTTTTCTTATCTCTAATGAAAACAATATTCAGGCTCTGAAAGTTCTATATGTAACGCCACCCTAAGGAAGAGGCCAGATCTTGTGTCTCTTAACTTAAAAAATGAGAGATTTTTTTAAAAATATGAATCAACTAAACGTTTGAAAATACTTACCAGTAAGTAGTAGGCTGATACTTTGAACAGGAGGATGCTGCACCTAAGGGAAGAAAGGAATATTTTAAAAATGACTAAGTGTAATCGGCAAGTCATAACCAATGAAGCAGAAATACAGTGGCCTGTAAAGGAAGATCTTTGTTTTTTTTTTTTTTTTCTGTGAGGACTAAACCCAGCATTCCTGCCTGGCTCTTCATTTTTCTGCAGCATCTTTTAAAATGAATAATTATGCTGCTCTTTCACGGAAGCATCTGAGGTCGGTCATCATTTCTGTCAAGTCTTCTTTGGTGTATTGTTTTGGCTCACCGAGTCCCAGATTCCCACTTAGATGACAGTGTGCTCAATAGTCTTTGGGTTAAGAAACCTAGTCACAGAGATTTCCCTCGTGCACGAGTCTATGACCAGTCACTCTGATGGCCACAGACTCCCAGAACACACTCGAAGGAGGTTCTGGAAACTTCGTGCATGCTTCTGCTGCCGCCGCCACACAGGAGGAAGTGCAACCTATTTTCAGGGGACACAGGCAATAAAACCTGACCTTCAGAGTTCAGCACCTCTCCTTCTTCTTCTTCTTTTTTTAAAATACATCAGGTCTTTCTCTTCTATTCAACAGAGTGAAAAACCTAACTTGAACCAGTTTAGTACCCCAAAGCAAAACAAGGAAACAGTGAAGAAAGAACTCTTGGAAGATAAATTGTCTGCACGAATTTGGTTAAAAAGACAATGAAGTTCAATACAGAGAAAAAAGATCTATTAAGTGAAAATAACAAAGGATGGAATTTAAAGCATATTGCCATGTTTATTTATATGAACACTTCTATGGGCTTTGAATGTGTCTGAAATAATGCACAAAAAACAGGTTGCAAACATTTCCTCTGGAGGAAAGAGCTGGAATCCTGAGATCAGGAATAGAAAAAGTATGCTTGCTTTTCCCAGTTTACTTGTTTTTGCTCTCTGGTACAGTATGGTTGTATACCCCACTAAGAAAGGAAATGAGAAGAAAAGAAAGTCTATTGTGCCTGCCAAGAACAAAAGCTCTACCCACAAGGTTATTTTTGGCAGGATGTCCTGATGAAAGGTGTGGGGAGAGATTTGTTTCTATGCCTTGGGCAGTGGAATTCCTGCTTCCCACTCTGCTGGCAGCTTTGTAGCCTCAGTCCAGTGAATGACACTGGGGACTCCCTACATAGAAGAGGAAACCCCTCCTTGCCTTATAATCATAGGCCCTACCAAGCGGAAAGCAGGAAGCAGAGTAGGAAGAAGGGAGAGCTCTTCTGGGCCCTGCGAGTGGCTGGGTCTCACGATAAACATCAGTTCAATGTGCTGAGCATGTGAGGAAAACGTTAACTTGGGTCCAGATGGGAGTCTTTGGTTCCCTCCTCTCTGTGTAGCATTTGGAGAGACTGAATTATTGTCATCTGTGCTTAAAGCAATGCTCTGAAAAGACTTCTCAAGAGTGTGTTATGTCACCACCACCACCACAATAATCCTCCGGTAAATAATTACCCCACTGTTCTCAAGCTGGTTGGTGCCAGCATGAATTGCCTGCCACCTGTTGGAGTCACAAGTGATCTGCAAAGTAGCACAATGCACAAGGCTTAGAGTGCAGCACTTGGCTTCCGAAACCAAGCAGGTACTTAGGCAAGTTTCATAAACACGCTACATGCCCATTTGTCACCTTTGAAACCCACTGAAAGATCGTAGTCTTCCCTTCCAGCACTGACTTCCCATGACTTAGATTTCAAAAGTTGCAACTCTAAGTCTATTTAAGAAAAAAGAAAAAAGACATGAAGCATCCTCATTTACAAATTTACTAATTTCTCTGATCTTAAAGCCTTTGTGATTGATTCTTTGGAGTAATTTTGCAGAATTCTCTGAAAGATTCCTGCAAATCAAAGAAATGACTCAGGTTTCTGAAATACCCTGCTACTGCGGGGTGGCAGTGACTGAGAGGATATCTCCTGGCTCTGGGCAGCTAAGAAGGCACATAGGAGTCCCTCACTGGGGCTGATCTACTGAACTTTAGGCTCAGAACATGAAATAGTACAAAAGAAGTTATCTTCTGGCTGAACGTTATATTTTACAGATGAAGAAACTAAGGCCCACAGAAGTGAGACAACTGACTCTTGTCCTCCAATCTTAGACAATTTGTATTATTTCACCCAAGTGGGTGTTTTTCTTCCTATGTAAATGGGAAAGGAGAAATTACTATAAAGATTGAGTCAATCTCCCGTTCTCTGTGACCTTGTATCTACTTCAGTATTAAACACGAAGAAGAAAAGCTGCCGCACAACAGATTGGCAATGACTTCATCATAAGAGGATGTAGGGAAAACTTAGATCCTAGGCTTTCCCTCCCCTATCCTCCCCAGCCAGCCAATTTCAGTCCTGCCATAAGTGGACTAAAACAAAATGAAACACAACCAAGTACCCACTCAGCAAATATGGACTACTTGCCAATGGACTGAATAATGCCTGCGTCGTATAAATCTAGAGGCAGATGGTGATATAGCAGGAAGGTTTGTCAGCCCAGTAGTGCTTAAGTGCTAATGTGTATTAGAATCATCTGTGAAATTTGTCAAAAAAAGAATAGTCCAGATGCCCAGCTTATTCACAAAGATCCTGTCCCCAAATCTCTGGGTGGATCCAGGAATAGGCATTTTTACAAGGTTCAAAATTTGAAAATCATTGCACTGACATGTAAACTAAGATCTAAAGTTATTTTTAACCATGCCTGGGGCAGGGGGGTGGGACATGCCTGTCCCTGAGCCAGTACTTATTAAATGTTTGCTCTACTATAAGCATTATTCAGTAGTTAAAGAATAATGTTATTGTCATATAACTTGGTGGTTTGGATAGAAACAGAATCAACAGTTACTAGGTACTGCTGTGTGGTAGGCATTACACTCAACTCTGGGAACAAAGAGGATACAACATATTATCTATGTTTTTGGCAAACTTGTATTCTGGGCAGAAAAATAGTGCCTCAAAAAAAAACTTTCAATAAATACCAATAAGCAACACAAGCTGTTAAATTCCAGGAAATAAAAAAAAAAGATTCATCTCAGGCTTTGGTTATTTAAGGAGAAAGAAAGGGAGAAGAGAAAAAATTCCCAGTTAAGCCAGAGACATTCAATGATTAGCTTAAGGAAAGATCTGCAAACTAGGTTATTTTTGTGTATTCAAGAAAAAGAATAAAAATTATTGAGAGTTTCCAACATGCCAAGCACTTCAGAAATCTCATTCTTTTGCATTTCAAAATAACTCCTATGTTTTACAGATAGGAAAATTACTGTCACTGATGTTAAGAACTTGCTGAGGAATAAAAGGCATTACCTTGAATTTTGTTACAATCTAGGTTCACAATGATATCCCTTGTCTTTCTCCTATCCTATCTTCTTTTTGTTTGGTTTGGTTTGGTTTGGTACCAGGGACCGAATTCAGGTCCTTGTGCTTGTGAGGCAGGTGCCAGAACCACTGAGCTAAATCCCTGGCCCACCCCTATCCTATCTTGAGAAAATGCACAGGAAAGCATCTGGGAGTCTAACATTAATTTGAACTACTTTCATCATGAATACTGAATGAGATTACTTTTTGAATCATTATATATCCAAAATACTCATATTTTTCAAAATACCCAGAAGTTTTCCACCTAAAAAGAACTCCTCAACTAGTCCTACAGGGTTGCCTGTGCAGGTTGCAAACTTGTTATCTGGGCTCTGACTAGATGTAATTGTCCTTTCAAGAGACACGCACGAGCAGACTGCGAGCAGGTGCAAAGACAAGCCAAAATCAGACCCTTTCCCGGCCTCTCACTGCCTTAAGTGCTGGGCTATTTAAGAACCTAGATGAAAGAGTCTGGTGTCTGGTGTTTATAGCCTCTACCATGTTCCCAAGAAACTAGTACTTGTTTCGAGAGCTCATCTTTAGAGAGTGTGAGCCTGACTCTGACTCACTAGGATGTGGCACGGGGCTGTTAACTTTATATTCATTTGGCATTTGTCTAGTACAGGGGTGTCTGTGACAGGAGCCAAGGTATTCAACAAATATGAAACTAGCACGTGGGCTCTGCATTCATTATATGGGCTTCGAGGTTCCTCACTTGATACCAGGCCACATTGTCAAGGCCCTGGGGGAGACTGGGGGTGAAGTGAGAGTTGGCAGAGGATAATGGAGAAACAGATCTATACTGGGAACTTGCTGGCTCATGCCGCCAGCCCTGCGATCAAACCACTTACCTCCCGCCTTGGGATCCTGTCTATCAGAGGAGACTCAAGAGATCATTAAAACACAACCTTACAAGCTCTCAGGGTGTGCCTCAGGGAGCCTCAAAAGAGGAAAATGGAGTTTTTCTATGCCCACCCACTGCAGTAGACTGAGAGAGCAGACTTTCATCTTAGAGCAGTGATGGAGAACCTTCTAGAGACTGAGCGCCCAAACTGCACCCCAAAACCCACGTACTTGTGGCAACAGTGCCAACACTGCCATGAAACTCAAATGTCTGGCTGTGGGACTGATGCCACACTTCGTGCCAACAGAGAGGGCTCTGCATGCCCACTGCAGCACATAAGCCTGAGCTTCACCACCACCGCCCTAGAGTATTCAGTGCATAGTCCATGGAAACAGCCCTGTTACAAATGAATGAGCCTTTACTTCAGATCAAGGAAATGCAGAACCCGATCTCGGGAAAGCAACAGGAAGAGTGGGCCATGGGTTCTTTGGTCAAGAAATCGTCCATACTCAAAAGCACTTGTGGCTTTGAAGTTCTGGTTGGATAATGGGTTGTGAACATAGAGAAGAGCCTTGTAGGTGTCACCCGCGACGTTCTCTTTCTCTATGCCCAGCTGACCACTGCTGCCACCCCCTTTTCTCTGCATCTTCCCTCTGAGCTTCCACCTTCACCCCACAGCACAGCCTGTGTGATACGTCTAATACCCCCTCTCCGACCATTCCCACTCCTCTGATCAAAGCTGCCTTGAAAGGCTATTTGAGTCTCCCCTCTGAGAGACGTCATTCCTCTCTGTCTCAGAGAACATGAACTGTG